TTAGTACAACACTCATTTATATGTACATCTATTTACAACCAAGTTTAATTGGAGGATTTGTTTAACTTGTATCATATAGAGAGATATCAGGTTATAAATGGATTCAATCTAATGTTTCTTATAGATTTGATACTACTTATCATGAAAAATGGATGCTTGAATTATGTTTACCTATGTTATTATTACTTGCTATTATAATACCACTATATTTTTTTTATGGTCTTTACAGTAATTCTCATAAATTAGATAATAAAAAGGTTAGACTTTAATGGGGTTATCTTTATAATGAATACACTAAAACTGCTTATTTTTGGGAAGTCATTAAAAAGAATTAATGATTATTTTCTTAACATATTATGATGATAATCTTATTCTTAAAGCTACAATTATATCACTTATTATTGGAATGTCTTTGGAATTAAGTATAAAATATAAACCTTATAATCTAAATAATCTTAATAAATTAGATTATTATTCTACTAATGTGTGTCTAACTTCAATTGCTTTAGCTATTGGTATTTATGTATCAGAATAATCTAAATCATATGAAATATAAATTCCTTATGTTATAATCATTACTATTTTGAACCTTAATATTTTATATACTTTAATATCAAAGATTGTAATTGAATACTTGAAAGAGAAAACCAGTTTTTTTGATGAAAAGTTTGATAAACTTCGTAATCTAATTAGAGAAAATTTCCCTTTTCTAGGACAAATTTCTTTTATGAAAAGAATATTAACAAATCGTCGTGGATAACGTGAAAGAATTACTAAATTATACTAAAAATTAAAAAAATTCGTAATTCCTTAAGCTAAAGAAATTATTGCCTTGAAAAATACTTAATGTTAAATTGCCATAGAAAAATAAATTGAATAAAATATTGATATATACCCTTTGAGTATTGGAAATACAACCTCAGCTAAAGAAAGATAATAATTTATTGTAAAATCTTTATAGGAAAGTTCATTAAATTTTCAAACTTCAAAACAAAAATCCTCAAGATTGGCTTCAATTCCTTATATCCTAGATATCCAAGATAAATGATATAATAATGAAATCAAAATTATTTTTATCTTATTTAATTTTTACTTTTAATTATTTCCATTCTCATAAGGCTTATAATCAATAATATTCTTTATATATTAATCATTAAATATTATTTATAAAAACCTTTTTATCATTAATACATTTGATAAATATTCCTTAATATATACAATGCATGAAATCCATCTAATTTTGTGTTTTGATATTAATTGATACCTATTTTAAGCTTGATTAATATTTTAAACGATTCTTTTAAATAATTGATATTTAAACTAAAGCTTATACTGATTTTAGTTTGCTTTATTAAATGCAGTGCAAGTATTAAAATATAAAACTTTGATACATTTTAGTAAAATTAATGAATTAATCACACTTAATAATTTTATATAATATATAAATGGGATACCATAAATCTATAGGAACAACACATTCAAATTATAAAAATCGAATGATTACTTGTATAAAAATGATTCTATTTATTATATAGTGGTAAATGGTAAAGATATGTATTTAAGCATTGATGTACTAATTGTTTTGGTATAGGTAGAAATATAAATGTTTTCTTTAACATATGCTGATATTTGTACAATTAATTATTATTGTACTTTTTATGACTTTATTGTTCTATTTATATAAATGAGGAGCTTAAAATAAATATTCAGAATTATATCATTTACTTAAATTGATTGGGTTAGTATTCAATTTTATAAAATTATCTAAATCATTACTATCAGTTTAAAAAGTTTCTATTGGCCAAAACCTTTTAAATAGATTATCCTGCCAAATAACAAATATAGTTTTGATTAAGAAACTTGAGAACAATAGGAATTTAAGTGATTAGAATTTTATAGATTGAACCTTTTATAAAAGTTTATATAGCTCCCTCTCAATAATTCAGATATATCTTGTATTTTTTTCTTTTTTTAATATAATTAGAGAAAATATTTGGTTTAAAAAAAATATTTTAGGATGCCATAATTATATTTGTTTGCTTAATTTTTATTGCGCTCTTATGAAATTATTGCTATCTAAAAATGTAAAATGTTTGCCTCACCAAATTCCAATAGATAATACAATTACTCTCCAATATTCAATAAAGTACTTTGAACTAAAATAACTTAATCAAAAAGTCTACCACTATAATGTAAAATTAAAATAAATGTCAAATAATAAGTTAGAATAAAGTAATCTGAAACATTCCTATAATAAATTTCTCAATTCTGATTTTTTACATACCTCTTAAATTAAATTTCATCAAAAGTAGCTTTCTACATATTCTCCATTTATTTTTTGTTGTACTATACTCATCTGTTAATAGTGTATTGAGTACATTCTAACTAAAGATTGAATCAAACATCAATTTTGGGTAATTATAATAAGGAGGATGAGTGATTGTTTTTATTATTAATAGTTAATAAAAAATATTGTATGTATAAATTTCTCTTATCCCTTTATTTTTAAATTGAAACGAAAAAATCAAGTTTAAATTTATTTTAGATGTTATTAACTAAATTTAATTGATTACTCATGAAGCAAATTTTTTTTCAGCATTAACCCACCTGATCTAAAAATTTGAAGAATCTAAATTTAGATTTATTCAATTTCATATTAAAAGAAATAATACAACTTATGCAAATTAAACAAAAAAGATTTATTAGTTACTTTTATTTTAAGATTTTCTGAGCTTTAATATTAAATATTTTTATCTTAAATAAATAATATGAATATAATGATCTGCACTTTTTAAAACATAACTTTTCAGCTTATTTCATGTTTATTTTTTTCTCTATCTTCTTTCTAAATAGGATTATTAAAACAAAGTGCTAATTCATAAAATTATTATTATTTGCTAGATCAATTTTCAACATTATTGTGTTTTCAAACATCTTCTAGAAGGTTTTAAAGTTACTTAAAGACATTATTCAGAAGTAATTAATGAAAATAAGGTAGAATAATAAGCTTTTTTCAGAATTGATATGCCCTAAAAATAGTTAAGAAATTGAAAGTTTTGCATTAGGTGATTTTTGGATTTAATTTAATTTGTATTTGTTTTATTGATCAGCATTGAAGAATTTTGCAATTAGTTTCCTAAAGCTTTTAAAAGAAATTAGAAATTTTAATATAAAAAATTAATTTTTATCCGCTACTTCTTTCTGATATATATAAATGGCAAGTTGTTTATGAACCCTTGAGCAATTATAAAATAGACTTTGCATTAATTTAGCAGCTTTTTTAATCGAATTATTGTTTTCTTCATTTGAAACAACAACATTAAATATGATTACTTTTTAAAACCTTCTCTGACATTGTTATTGTCATTAAAACAAAAATACTAATTCTAATATCTTATTTAATAAACTTCAATCCAAATTTGTTTAAATATTTTTGAAAATATCCATAGTTATTTATAATAAATATATTTCAAAAATTATAGAAATTAAATTATTTTCAGGCTCAAAAATTTATGTTAGGGAGAGAAAAAATCATTTCAAATCCATCAATCAAGGATTTTAACAACTCTATAGATGCTTGTTCGCTATTATTCTAACCCTTATTATTTCGTGAATATTTTCTTTAATATTTTCAAATTAATATCAAATGGTTTATTATAATATTTGCTTATGATGAACTAATATTTAGTCTAAATCAAAAAAATAACTATAAATTTTATCATAGGTCTCTACAGGATGTATTTAACTTGTTTAATATATACCCATTTTTTTAATTATTTTCAATTCTGAAGCTAAATTTTGTTGACAAATGATTGAAAATTAGCCAACAGACTCAAAAATATTGTTAGTTTGAAATAATTATTGTTCATCAGTATTTTTTTATCATGTTTAATTCATATTAATTAAATTAAAAAAGTAAATAATATTTCATTCTAAATTAACAAATTTTGTATTTATAACTACACTTTTTTTTCTTTAGATATCATTATTAAAAATATCAGAGACATTTATGAATAAATATAAGAAAAATTTAACAATATGGAGTAGATAATAGCTTTAACTTTAAAGCATTTTTACAATGAAGATGGAAAGAAACCCTTCATCATTTCTAAAACTTTTTGATGATTATGATTAATATAATGAATAATATCAAAATAACAAGCTAATTAAATTGAGAGGAGGAGGATGTGGGGTATCAAAAGTTCATAAGGAGATCCAATCACATTAGTCAATAGCTGAAAACTAAATGCAGTCAGAATTTTTTCCTTAAAATTTTCATTAAACCCTTAATGATTGTCTAAGACTTATAATAGATGAAGCATTACTTCTAGGAGGTACAACTAAGAGAAATGAAGTGATTAAAAAAATACAATGGTTTATTCACAATAGAGAACACTTGAATTATTTTTGTCTTGATGAAAAAGAAGGAAGCAATATTTATGAATTAGTAAAATAAAATTTTGATATTTTATTGACGGTGGGTTTCTATGTTATTAAGTTTTACAAATTTGTAATGAATTATTAAGAATAATATATGCCTTCTAACTTAGAAGACCAGAAAGATTTTTTAAAGTCGAAGAGTAAGAGGATTATTTATAAAAATTATTAGAATTTGATACTTAACTAGAAATTGAATAAACAAATGTATGGAAGACAGGATTAGAATTTGAAATTAAAATAATTAAAATTATGATTATGAATTCATAAACTAATTCTACTGAAGGTAAAAATTTACTGCTGAATACATTAAAAGAAGCTGCTAAATCAATCTTATCTTTATCACTATCAGAAGATTTGCTTCCATCAATAATAGAAGGAGCAGAATATCTTTTAAAAAAGGGAATTGAAAAATTATTATACCCAAAAGAAACTTATTAAACTTATTATTTAATTTAATTGATGAAATGGTCAATAATAAGATAATTAAAATCCAAATATTCAGTCTATAAATAAATATAATAATTAAAGGATATCTTTTAATAATATATATTTGTTTCTGATAATTGGATTTTACATTTTAGTTGGATATAAATGATTACTGATATAATTGCATATAGACCAATTATTGATTTATCTATTATGGTGAAAAAAGTGCCTAATTTTAGCTCTAGTATTTGGAATTAACTTATTGAAAATTCTTTGATTCAATGTGTTTCATATAATAAGAATTAAGCAATTATGTATTTATTTTAAAACTAAGAAAAATAATTGTATAATTGTTCATTTAATAATATATTGGAATTTTATAGCAAAAAAAAGCTTTTATTATTTTCTTAATTTCTTTTAAAAGGAGATTTCACTTAAAATATTAATCATTGGGATTATTATAAATAATTCACATTTAATAGTTAAAAATAAAACAAATAAGAAGATTATGAAATAATTTTAGAAAGTTATGAATAGGAAATTTTATAAATTTTAATTAATAATCTTATATCTGAGAAAGACCAAATAATATCAATCCATTAAGAAATAATTTAATCTTTTATTAACTATTTTAAAGATCCAACTTATTTGTCACTATAACTATTATAAGATGATTAGTAGGGATTATAAAAGCAGTTTTTAGAAATTTATAAAAAATTAATTATTTTAACTAATCATATTTAAGAATTATCAAAATTTGAAGCTGTAAAGTTAAATTTGCTTACTCCTTACTTAAATAAATTTTAGAATCAAGGAAATTTGTTAACATTAGGAGATTTGAAAAAAAAAATAGATGACTTTGTTAAAATAGAAAATGTTAAATTCTTTGATTAACTTTTAGATTATTTTTTAATTGCTGTAGAATTTTCAAGTACAAATTATGATTTTAGTCTTTTTTTAGAGACTAAAAACTAAATAGAATTAGAATAAATAAAAAAATTATTTGAGGTTGAAAACTTTGATAAGATTTTCTTATTATTTGAAGCTTAATTTGATTAATTTACTCTAAACCTAAATTCCTATAAAGAAAAATTTTCTAATTTTGTTTAAAAGGAAAAAGATATTAAACAACTAACAATACAAGTAGAAGATGGAAATATTCTAAATATAATTGATTTTAATTGTAATGGAGATTGGATTAAATTAATATATAAAAAAATATAAAACAAAAATTTTTTAAATAAGCTAGAATTATTTAATTCTGAATTATAAACATTAAAAAATGCACATCAACATTTAATTGATTGTAAATTTAGCATCACAATATTATAATTATTAAAGTAATTTTTCAAATTACAAAGCTCTGATTTAAAAATAACTCATTAACATATTTAAAATTATTAAAATAAGACAGAATAATCAAATTAGTTTGGAGATGAAAGTCTATAATAATTTATTAAAGAAATCTTGATTTAATAAATTAAAATATTGGATTCTTTGTTGAAATCAAATCAATTATTATTTGATGAGTCAAATTTGAAAGATGGTTGTAAAAATTTAGTTGCTTAAATTTAATATGACTTTGCTATCCTTAAGGAGGAATCTAAGAAATTAAACAATAAGTAGCTCAGTCATGATATTTCAAAATTTTTTGTTGAGTCATAATATACAATAGTATAAGTTTTAAATAAGCCTGAAGAAATAGATAATTTAAATAAACTTTTAATTTTGTATAATGCAAAATTGTTAGAAATTAGTAAAGGAAATGTAAGCAATAAATAAAATAATTAAAACAAAGAAAATTCAATTATTTTAAATCTTATGAAAAATTATTATGCCTTGAGTTAGACTTTATTCATCAATAAGAATTCACTTGGAATTAAAGTCTTAATTAATAGGAAAAAATCAATTAAGATTAAACTAAATAATAAGAAAAAATGAATGAAAATTAATAATAAAATGAAGAATAAGTTATATAAGAACTAAATATAAGGAGAAATAATTATTTTAGTGAAAAAATGAAGAGCCAAATAAAATTAATAATATATAATTTATTTGATGAAGTTTAAAAATAAAACGATAAGCCTGTAAATCTCAAGTTGACGGACTTTTTATCATTCTTTTAGACTTTATTTAATTGTTAATAAGCAAAAGGAGGTAAGATTGATAAAATTAAAGATTCAATATGGTAGGATATAAAGAATGCATATTAAGATACTAAAGAAAAGCTATTTAATATGATTGATCTTAAACCTGATTATAGAGTAAGAGAGGGATTAGTTTACAATTTAATAAGACTTTAATATAGCAATTAAGAATAATAAATCAATTCTTTCTCATGTAAATATATTTAATATATGTGGGTATTTGAGAAGGATTAAAGAGTGAGAAATTTATTGAAAAATAAAGAATTAATTGAAATTCAGAAACAAATGTTTAGTTAAGATATAGATAATTTTTCAAGTTCAATTAAAGTTGAATTGAAATAAAGAATGTAAAAATTAGAAAATCTATAACAATAAATTAAGCTTGAAGGAAATTCTCAAAAAAGAGAGTAACTTTAGGTAATTTTAAAATAAACATATGATTAATTAGATGAATCTTTAGAGAACTTAACAGAAATGTCAGAAACAATGGATATTAGTTTAGTATTTCTTAAAGATATTTCAAAAGATGTTAAGTAAATAAAATCTTAAATAGATAATTTACAAGAAAGCATGAATTAAGTTGGTGATGATATACGTAAATTAAGAGGAAAGAGATATGATGAATTATTAGAAATAAGAAAATAAAAGATATTATTTCAATAAAAATTATCAGAAATAGATTCTGTTTATGTATAATTGAATACAATTGAATATGATCCTATTACAGGTTAAAAGGTTCTTCATGATGGTAAGGAAACAACATATTTAATAAAGGAATAATGGGATGATTCTGAAGGTGAAGTAAATGAATTTATTTGGGAAGATGAAATTAAGAAAAAAAAATAAAATTCAAAGGGGAAAAAAGATGTTTTATTACTTTCAGGAAATGCAGGTTCTGGAAAAAGTAAAGCGGCTAGAAAAATTGAAGAATTTATATGGAAATAAAAAGAGAATTAATCAAAATGGATTCCAATTTTTGTATCACTTCCAACTTTAAAAAATCCAAAATATAATCTATTTGAATAAGCACTTGAATCTGAAAATTATTAATTTGATCATTATTAAATTAGAGAATTTAAAGAAGCTATATAAAATAAAAAGGAATTTATTATTTTAATACTTGACAGTTATGATGAAATGAAATCAGATTGTATATAATAAAATTTATTAATGACAAATAAATTATTTTAAGATTTAAAAACAGATTAAATTGGATAATAAGTTAAAGTTATAATTACAACAAGAAAAGAAATACTTAATACAGTTGGATATCAAACTTGGTTTTATGGAGAGAGTCTTTTATCTTTAAAAGAGGTTTAGATATAAAATTTTAATGAGAAATAATAATAGGAATATTTAGATTTATATGTAGAATTAAGTATTAAAAGAAAAATTAAAGAAATTTATGAATTTGTTAAATAAATTAGTGGATTAAATTTTGATTTAGAAGAATTTATAAATATTTGGAATTTAGTTTCTTAATAAGTTAAAAATTGGATTAAGAAGTCAGAGAAAAAAAAAAATGATCAAATTTTTCAAAATAAAGAAGAAGAATTCATTATAGCAAAAATTAAAACTCATAAGACTTTAGAAAATTTAAATGATGAGTAAAAAACAGGCTTAAGAAAAGAATTGTTATCTTTATGGAGTGCTAATAAATTTAAAACATCTATTGAAAGTGTATAAATTTAAGATTTATTAACTACACCATTTATGTTAGAAATTATTGTTTAAGTTTTACCAAATATGACTAAAACATAGTCAGAATCAACAGTAATGAAAGAAACTTTTATCAAGAACTATTTGAAGTTGAAAAATGAAGTAAGACTTTTTTAAAAAGCTAGATAAAAATATGAAGAAGAAAATTAATATTTCATATAATTAGAATAGAAAGGTAAGGTAAATTAAGAGGATGAATAATAAAATGAAAATTAAATTGATGAAGAATATTAATAAAAAATAGAAAAAGTAAAATTAGATGAATTAATTGATAATCTAGATAGATAGAATTTTTTTTAGAATTATTCAATTGTTAGTAAATTATAATATGAAGAAGATAATATTAACTTTGATGGAATTACTGTTAAATTGAATTTTGAAGATATTGATTTTGTATTAATAGCTTTAAAAATGAAAAAGTTTACTGTTTTTGAATTCTATGATAGTTTTATTAATTTTTATCATGAATAATAAATTCAAAAATAAAGAGAACTTGGAAAAGTATCTAATTATGAAAGTTTTAGATTTGATATTTATTAATTTTCTTCTTCATTAGCCATAGATATGACTTTAAGAGAGTTATCATAAATAGGTTATAAACCATAAGGAAAATTAGATTTATAAAGTAATTATAAAATTGAATAAGTAATTGATGATTGGTAGAATAAGTATTTTGATATTGATAATGAATATAAAAAATTAATTCGAAGTTGCATTTTATTAAATGCTAAAGGTAGTACATTTTCATTTACGCATAAATCTATTTAAGAATTCTATGTAGCCAAATATATTTTTGATCTTTTGATTTCTTTAGATTATTATGATTCTACTATTTGTGAAAATAAGGTAGGATAAGAATAGAATCAAAATAAGGATTAATTAGAAATAAATCAAAATAAGGAATCTTATGAAAAGAATTCAAATAAGATAGCATAAGAAATGAATAAAAAATTATTAGAAAAATCAGTCTTTAATAAAACAAACTTTAATATATCAACAGATAACTTTAGAAATGTAATCAATTTTATAAGAGAAAAGTTAATAAATAATGAATTAATGAGTTAATAATTAATTGAAATAGTAAAGCTTTCAAATTAACAAATATATTGTAGATCAGCATCAAATAGTATTTATTTATTGAGACAAATGAATATTTATTTGGGATCTTAATTTTTTAATAATATAGAGTTAGTCAATACAAATATATCAGGGTTAAGCTTTTTTGATTGTAATTTATAAGGTTCTAAATTATAAAATGTAGATATTAGTTCATGTAATCTAAATTTGGCTAATTTATCAAATTCAGTATGGTCTAATATTATTTGTAAGGAAAAGCCATTTTTAAAACATTCTTCTGGGCATAATACAAAAATATTAGATGTATATTTTTCACCTGATGGATAATATATTGCATCATTAGGTGATGAAATGGAAAATAATATCAAATTATGGAATGCTTAAACATTTTAATTATTTAAAGATTTAGAAGGACATAAAGGAAAAGTAAACTCTTTATCTTTCTCATAAGAATCTTCAATTCTTCTATCAGGAGGTTAAGATGGTACTATCAGATAATGGAATATATAAAATTCTCAAATTAAGATTTAAAGTGAAATAATTTATTAGATTTAAAGTGAAATAATTTATTAGATATAAACTGCTATTTTAAAAGTCTAAATATCAAAAGACTCAAGAAAATTATATTTATTAGATGATAAGGACAATTTTTTAATTTTTAATTTATCTAAAGACAAGTTAATTATTAATGAAAATTTAATTTTTGAATTTGACTAAACTGCAATAAGAAATCTTTCTCTTGTTACAATTAATCCTTCTTTGAAATCATTTGCAATAAATCCAAAAGAACCTTAGGTTGCGCTTAAATGTAATTAATATGCTATTTTAATCAATTATGAAACAAATAATAAATTAATCTCTCCAGAACTTGAATCACACATAACATAGTAAATGATATTTAGTTAAAATGGAAAGTATTTCGCAATTGCTTTTAAAAAGTAAGCTAATGTTTGGGATATATCAGAAAATAAATTGAAATAATTAAGAATCTTTAACTTCTCTAATTTTATTTTATCAACAATTATTTTCGATAAGTCAAATCTTTATTTAATTTTAAGTACAAATAACTTTGTATTGAGAAGGGAAATTGTTTAGTAAAATATAAAAATATAAGATTAACAGGAGAAATGTTTTGAAGTTTAAATTTCTCCTAATGGAAAATTCACTGCCATTATATATGAAAAAAAAATAAGTATAATTGAAGTGGAAACAATGTCAATTAATTTTAGAACTTTCAACTTTCAACCAAGTTTTATAATTTTTTCAAAAGATAGTTCATAATTATCATTCATTTTAAATGATGAAAAAATAAAAAAATCATTTTAAATTATTGATGTCAATAAACTAACAACAATTTATGAACTTGTTTGGAATAATTTTTAGAAAAATCTAATAATTTCCAAAAATTTTGTAAAATTACTTATTCAATTTTAAGTTGAACCTAATAATTTTGGATCTCTTCTAATAGATATTAATAAAAGAAATTAAGTATTAGAAAATAGAAATTTTAATATTAACATTGAAAAATTTTGTTTTATGGCAAACAGTTGGATAATTGCTTATATTACTTCAGAATCCAACCTTATTATAATTTATGATTTGGATAAAAATTTATAAATTTAAGAACCTCTTGATAATTAAACGAAAGAAGTTTAGATTTTTTAGTTTTCTCCAAAAGTTAATTAATTAGCTGTTGTATATAAAGAAGAAGTTCTAATTTGGAATTTAGATCAAAATCCCTTTAAAATATAAAAAATAATCAACTTGAAAGATTAAATAATTTTATAATTAAATTATTCTCCAGATGGCTCATAAATTGGATTGTTATTGAAAGATTTGTTTCAAATTTATAATTTTAATTCAAATACATTAATTAATTTGGAATAAAAAAATACCATAAGTTAAGTAGTATTTTCAACCGATAATGAATTTATTGGTTTTAATATAAATTATGAAATTCATGAAATTAATATCTTGAGTAAAAACTAAAATCATGAAAAAAAACTCAATAAAAAAAGATATAACTTATCTAATTAGATTATTTAATTAATGTTTACTAAAGATTAAAAATTTATAATAACTGCTAGCTTTAGAGAAATTATTTTATGGGATTTATCTACTAATGAATTTAAAGACATAAAAGTATCCTATTTAGAAAATGCAAAATTAATTACTTTTTCTCATAATTGCGATCTTATTGCTTTAAATACAAATTATATAGTAGAATTATGGAAATACAAAGAAGGAACAATAAATTATTTAGGATCTCAATTATATGAACATTCTATTAAATAATTGGGTTTTGTAGGAGATGATCAACATATATTACTTTTATAAGAAAATAATGATTTAATCCTGTGTAATATTAATAATTTTTAGCATAATTATATTAAAGAAGCTATATATGATTGTGGTGCACTTTCATCAAATAATTAAATTGCCTTGGCAAATAAAAATGAAATAAATATATTTTATGATGGCTTTTAAAAGAATAATTCTTTACTTGTCAAAGATACAAAATATCTAGAGTTTTTCGAGGATAAAGAAAATTTAATGCTAATATTTAAATAAGATAAGATGTGCATTTGGAATCATAAAGATAATTATTAAATAATAGAAATAAATTTCTACCAATACATTTCATCGAAATTAAATATGAAAGATGAAATAATTATTTCATAGCATTAAAACCTTGTAGAGGTTTGGAATATAAAAGACTTTACCAAAATTTATTTATGTGGATATCATTAGGATATTCATTGTTTTTCTGTTAACTAAAATGGAGGAATGGGATTAGGAATTAAGGATGGTTAAAAAATGGAAATAAAAAATGTGTTTAATGTAACTTTCGCATTTCCTATTAATTTAAACCAAAAAATTAAGTAGTTGTTCATGTATTAAAATGAATAATTTTATATTATTTTAACCGATTCTGGATAACTTTTTATGTATATGATTGAGAAATAACAAACTTTAGAATTAAAATAAAATGTTTAATAGATAACATTTTTTGAAGAAAAAAATCTTTTTGCAATGAAGATAGGAAGAAACATTTAATTAGAAGAAATACAAGGAGATAAATTAAATATATTAGATAGTTTAGATTTAAATATTGATATTGATGACTGTACTTTAACTTTTTCAAATGATGGTGAAGAGCTATCAATAAATTCAAAAAAATTTATTTATTTATTTTAAATCTCACGTGGAAAAAAATTAATTGGTAAATTCTTATAAGATTTTAATTTTTCTGCATCTTTCAAATAGAATTTGATTCCACAATAAGTTTAATTAATTTAAAAAGTAATTTAAAAATAAGGAATATTCTAAAAAATATCAAATTTTTGCTTTAATGTAGAATGACTCATTTAAATTAATAGATACATAAAAAATGAAAAGAATAGTACTTATTAATGGTTAGAAATTAAATTAATTTTAAATGAGTTTAGATGAACAAAATATTTGTTTTATTCTAAATAACAATTTATTAGTTCTTGATAATAAGACATTTAATTTTAAAAATTACAACAATACCAATAAATTCAAGGAATAAGGAAATTATCAATCTTGTTTAACCTCAATTGAGGGAGATAAATTTGTTTTTATTAATGATAAATAAAAAATAATGTAATATTCAGCATAGAGTATTTCTGAAATTTAAATTGATTTAATTTTAGATAACATATTCTATATAAATTATTTACCTTAATAGTAATAATTAGTAATTAGTACAGAGAAGAATAATATAATGCTTTGGGATTTTAAAGCTAAAAAGATTGTTGGATCTTTAAAAGGACATTAAAAAAGAATAAATTCAATTGCAATTTCAGTAAAATGAATCTTAAGACGTATAACAAGCTCATGAATATTAAATAAGTGCTTTAGCATTTTCTTATGATTGTTAATTAATAGCATCATCAAATATAAAAGGAGTTGAACCAAATGTACCAATCTTCCTTTGGAATTTAAGTGAAAAAAAGTTAATGATTCAATTAAAGGGACATTAAGATTCTGTTAATTGTTTAGAATTCTCAAAATGTACTAAGTTTTTAGTGTCAGGAAGTAGTGATGGAAAGATAATATATTGGAATATTGAATATCCATAAGCTGCCAAAATTTTATATGTTATAGATGAATTTAATCACTCTATTAATTCTTTAAGTATTTCACCAAAAGAATAAACATTTGTAGCATTTTGCAATTTAAATAACATTTAAAAATGGAATTTTGAGAAAATTGAACGATATTAAAAAAATTATGATAGAAGTATAACTTTAAGTTCAAATTTAGACTAATACAACTTTATTTCAAATGATTAATTCATTTATTTAGAAAAAGAAAAAAATTAATTGACAATTCTAAATATTGAATCTAAGAAAGAACTTATTTTGGAAGAGAATTCATAAGTAACTTAAATTATAACTTCTAAAAATGGTGAATATATTTTATGTTTAGAAAAACAAGGCGTATATGTTTGGAAGAAAAAAAATAATGATAATCAATGGTACAAATAAAATTTATTTATTGAAAACTCAATGTTCTTTTTACTTTCCCCTAATAATTAATATTTATTTTAGATAAAAGATACTATTGTTGATAGTCAAAAAAAGAAAATTACAACAATTAATTTTCAAAAATTGGGGAATCTAAAGAGAATATTTTTACATGATTTCAAAAATTTGGAATCTTAGTTTGAAAAATTAAATATTAATTTGAAAAATAATAAGTATTAGATGTGATATTTTCAATAGATTTAAAACTCACTATAATTAGTTTTAATTGGAAAATAACAATATTTGATACATATAACCGAAATGATTTTAAAATTATTGAAGTAAGTTAAGTACCAAAAAATATTTAAATATCTGAAGATAAAAAATATTTAGCTTGTTATAATGAAAATTAGGAATCTTAAGTAAACAGCATTTGCATATGGCAGATTGAAAATTTAAATAATCCTCCTATTTATCTAAAATTTTCAAATGGTAATTTGAGAAAATATTAATTTTGTGGTATTGATTCATCAAAAATCTATGCAATATATTCTGATGGAACTATATGGGATTGGAATGTTAATAAATAAACATAATAATTGGTATTAGATCATAAATCTGAAATAATAAAGAATGATTTCATAACCTTTTCTAGAAATCTTCGATTTTTAGCAAACTAAAGTTTAGAGTAGTAATAAATAGTTGTATATGATTTCTCTAGATAGGAATGTATTTAGTATTAAGTTGGAGATATCAATAAAATTTAGTTTTCTTATAATGAAGAAATGCTTGTTGTAGCCTTTTCTAAATTTTGGATTACTACAAATTATTTTAAGTTATTAATTATAGAAAAGAATTAAAAACCATACGAGATCGATTTGGATCTTTAATCTTAAATTGTAAACATATCTTTTTCATTGAATTAAATAATCTTTAGTTCTAATAAATCAATTTAATTATGGAATTTAAATTAAAATTTAGAGGCTTCATAGTTAGGTGAATGGATGGTACCAGATTTTGTTTATTCATTTGAATTTGATTTTTCAAAATCCGAAATAGCTTTAAAATTGGAGAATACAATAATGGTAATCTAATTAAAACCAACAGTCTTAAAAACTAACTAATAGGATATCATGAATTAAAAATGTATTTGTATTTCCCCTGATAATAAATATTATGCAGTATTAACATCTTGTTTAGCAATATATGAGGTATAAAATCTAAAAAAGTTAAATAAATATAATTAATATGAGGGGCAAATGGTACAATTTCAATCAGATAAAATCTTAGTACTTGTGAATAAAGATAAAATATCATTTATTAATATTTCTGAACTTAATAAATTAGAAGAAATTAAAAAGTGCACTTAACATTATTAAGTACCAGATAGCACAATAAATTACTCTTACAATTATTAAATAACAGATATCACAATCAATTCAAAATACTCATTAATATCGTTTAAAAATAATGAAAATAAAAAGTAATCAAATGATTAAAATGATGAAAAGGAAGATGATCAAGCTAAAATTATTGCAATTAATGTTGATAATGATAATGTTAATAAAGAAAAAACCTTTTTTGAAGCTATCTTTAGTTCTATTAGAAAACCAATTATTACAGAAAATGGAAAATACTTTGCTTTATGTTAATAAAAAAAAATTTAAATAATAAATAGTGAAAATTTGCTCTAAAAAAAAAGTCTACTTTTACATGAAAAAGTTAATCAAGGCTAGATATTTTATTCTCATGATGGAGAATAAATATTTTTATTTACTCATAATTGTTTTTAAATTTTGGATCCTCAAACTTTGGCTTCAATAAGTGAATAATAAAAAATAGATTTTGAAGTAACAGATATATAAATTTCTTAAAATTGGAAATATTTTGCATTATTGAGTTCACCTATTGTGAAAATCTATTCTTTACATAACAAAAAAGAGCTTAAAATATTTAAAGAGATAAAAGAAGAAGATATCAATATCAACTGTATATCTTTATCTCCAAAAGGAGATCTTCTTTTGATTGGTGGGTAATAAGACTCGACAAATACAAATACAATTTCATTATGGTCGGTAGAATAAGGTTAATAATAAGATATAAATAAATATATAAATGATAAAGTAAAAGTTATCAAATTTTGTCCAGATGGAATTAATTTTGCTGCAGGATTATAAGATGGATCTGTTAATTTATACTTAATAGATATTTCATAAACAAAATATTTTAAAGATCATTAAAATTAGAATTCTAAGAGGTACAATATATACTGTTATTAATCATTTGCTTAGTAATCTTTATTATTAGCTTAAGAATGCTTTTTAAATACATCATCCAAATCCACTAATTTACCAAAATCAATTATTTAGTTGTTACTCTAAAAAGGGGCAAAATAATAATGAGCTATTGTTTTAAATGACAATTAAAATAAAAATCAAATTTCATATAGTATTTTTGGTATTTTCTTTATATCTAATCCAAAATTCTCACAAATAATATTCCTTAATCTATCTATAAAAAATCTTTCCTCTCTTAATTATACTCACATTCTTCTTTATGTTTATTTTCATCACCCATCTCTTTTATTTCATATAATCCCTTATATAATTCTCCTTTAGCTTAGCTTTTAAATTAATTAAAATGAATAATATAACAAATAGAATAATTTTGGCTTTATATGATTGGTTTAATTTTATTAAGAAACATTTATTTAATATATTTTCCATTTTGAATGTATTCATTATTATAATTTTATAACTAGGTATGACAAAATTTTCAAATGTAAAAATTTGATTAAGTTGAATTTAATTTTTATAGTATGTATCAATTAATTTTTAGGTTAGTACAAATATATTTAGATGTAAAATAATGAAAGAATTTTAAATTAATGCCATTATTAATAAATACTAAAAAATTGTCTTGCTCAACTAATAAATTACAAAGATCTAAACTTATTTGCTACACATTTTATCTTTCATATTAATTCAATTTTCTAATTTTTTTTTTGAATAATATTATTATATTAAGAAATAAAAAGATTAGATTATTTCATACAACATTCAATTAAAATTGAATATTTTTTTTAATTTTATCATTGTTGAAATTAATTATTCCCACGTGTTGATGAATAGCTATTTAAAATATGCAGTTTAATAAGAAATTGAATAGCTTGGTTATCTTGAGAAGCCAATATAAATTTCCACTTTAGGAGTCATAATAAAAATTGTTTCAAAGTTGTTTTCCTTTTTTAATCTCCAGCATCTGTTTTAAAAGTATATTGAAACTTGGAATTGTATCAACGTTTACTCTTTTGGCCAAAAATTTCCATCTAACTCTTTTTATTTGTCCAATCCTCTTTTACATTTTTATGTTTCTCCCCTCTTCTATTAATAGCTTCATTTAAGAAGTTTGGTGGATCTACAAAAAATAATTTCTTGCAGCCTAATATTCTTTTATTTATCATTATTAATATTTACTATAATTAAATAATTTTTTTAAAGGAGAAATGCAAGAAATAACTATTATATTATTATGTTTTTTATTTCTTTTAAATTAAAAAATTTTAATTTCTTCAAGATAACAGAAATAAAAGAAGTCAATTCCTCTGATATATTTTTTTCAAACTTATTTTCAGTTGTCCCCATAAACAATCTATAATAGAAGTTGAAATCATTATAAGATAGAAAGAGTTAAAAAAGAAAAAGGATTAATCAAAAAAAATTATTTTACAGAATAAATGTGAAAATCCTAATTTTAGATAATAATCAGTATCGTTTATTTTTTTATTAGAGGGATTTCTAAATAATACAATTATAAATAATTAAAAAAAAAATCAATGGAATTTCTTTGAAAAAAATTTGTTAAGAGCTATTCATTTGGTAAGAAGTTACTAAAGAATTTGAAATTTTTGAGAAGAAATTTTCGAAGATTAAAATATAAATCGTATTTACTAAAGATTACAAAATAATATATAAGCTGAATGAAAAGATTTTGAGAGAGTAAAATTTATAATTAATTCAAAAAGGGAAGTGGTCTAAGACATATTTAAGTATCCAGAAATAATGACTAGTATGGAATAGATATTACATCTTAAGTGGCATGGTCAATGGGGGCTAGACAATAAAAAATATGGTAGGTGGAGAGTATCTTGGCAAAGTAATGTTCTTAAAGAGGTTGGCGGATACTATATGGATGGATTAAAGCAAGGTTTATGGAAAGAACTACATAAAAATTATTATACGTATAATATTCTAATTTTTAATAAGTAGTGATGCTCAATTATTTGAAATTGGAGAAGATTATAATGATCTAAAAAGAAGTAAGTGGAATTATATCTATAAAAATAATATGATGTAACAACTTTTAAATGTCATTTTGTAATCAGCAGTAAATAGAAATAATAAATTATTCCCTTTAGAATTAGAAAAATCTAAATTCTTTATATTAAATTATTATTTAATTTTAATATGTAGAAATCACATTTAATTCAAAAAATATAAATATCAATGTTATAAAATTTTTGATATTTATTCTGAAAATAAGAGATAATAATTCATCATAATAAAATTGATTTAAGTTTAATAAAAATAGAAGAAAAGAGTTAAAAGACTAAATAATTTTTATTAAATTTTCTGATTTGTATTTTACAAGACTTTTTATCTCAAGTAATTAAATATTCTCTATTATCACTCATTATTCCAATGGTTAAAATTAATATATGATTCTAATTCGACTTTCAATTTTAAATTAGATTAAGAATATGTGAATATTATTAAATTTTTTGTAAATTCATTTTTGAAAACAATAGATTATTATTTATTTAGAGGTAAGGAGAAAAAAACTTAAAGGATTATTCATTTCCTTTTTAGTATATAAGTAATCTATGGAGATTTGTGAATCTAAATTTTCGAAGGCTTCTTAATTATTAAATTAATTTATTCTTTTGATTATCGTGTTTCATTTACACTACTTTTTAATTATTCTATAAATCCATTCTACTTAGAAAAACAAATATTAAAAAACTTATAGTGAATCCTTTTATTAATTTCTTTTAGTATGTAGGTTATTAGAAACAGAAAAGAAAAATCATTTATGAAATGTAAAGAAGATGGGATAGTATATTATTAATTTGATACACTTTTTAGGAGTCATTTTGACGGAATTTTGGATGGCACAGAATCATTCTCCAAAATTAGAATTCCAGAAACAAGAGAATTAGAGGGAATAATCTGGAATTATTATTGGAATCCACCTTTACCAATAAGAACAAAATACTAAGTTAATTAAACAAAGAAAAAATCATCTACACTAAAGACGGAACAATTCTTAGGAGGTAATTTCATTTTAATATATTTTAATGAAGCGATTAGAGAATAGATACCTTTCCAAGACCATAAATGCTGGAGAACTTAGAATAAATTAAACATCTAAAATGGATAGGAATATATGGACCAAATAATTAGAAATAAGGTTCTTGGACAGTTATGTGGGATGGAGAGCTAATATCAGGAGCTGGTGGAAAGTACAAAAATAATGGAAAAAAAGAAGGATGTTGGAAGGATATATTTAAAAATTATTGGACTTAAGGTATCATTTTTTATATATTTATAAAGCTTAAGTCTATGAGGTAGGATATTACGAAAATGATTCTAGAAAAGGGCCTTGGAAGTATAAATTTAAAGATAAAGATATGTAAATTTTTAATTCTTAGTAAAATTAGTGGAGGATTATAATTAAAATGGATTGAAGTGTGGAAAATGGATAGAGTTGCTTATAGGGTTTAGAAAATACGCTAAAGTCACTTATAATGGTGAATATAATATAGAAGGTAGAAAGATAGGTAAATGGGATATTTTGTATTCTTTAGACAGAGAGAAGACTTGGTTTTAAATGTAAATATAATATTAAAATATTTATTATAGAGGTGGTGGAACATATTCGGATAATAACTATGGTCATGTGATTATAATCAAAATCTAAAAACTATGAAAAAAAAGCGGAAACTGAATAAATTAAGAAAAAATGGCAAAAGAAAGAGTAAGCGCCATAAAATCCTTAAATCCTAGATTAATCCAAATGACTAAGAATTTAAGTAAATAAAAGCAGGATTAATAATTTGAAATTATTTTTAGATTATTTCATTTTAATTGCAACCTAGAATAACTTTTGATGATTCTAAGCAAGGAAAACTATTTAAGGATGTAATTCTATCTGCAAATTATTTAAATTTATAGATTTATTTTTTGATACTTCAAGTCTTGTTGAGAAGGGATATATTTAATTTAATTTCCATAATCATTTTACTTATTTCACTCATAAGTTGTTTTAAGGAAACAGTTTTGCTTTAATTCAAGTTGTTTGATGGAAATAACAGACGATTTTTTAAATTAGAATTTTCTCATTTAAGGGTTGTTTGATATTTAAAATTTTCCATATCTTAACACATATAAAAGGTAAAAATTATTTATAAAAAATTTATTATAGAACAAATTTATTAAATAGATGTATTTCTCTTTTGAATTTTCATATTTGTTGCACAAAATTTGGTCTCATATTAATTTTATTGGATAAATATTTTATAATTATAATCTAAGAATCACTAAATTTGAGTTAATTCGAATGATTTAAATTAGTAATTAAAAGTTAGGGAAAACAATAATATATTGTAGGTAAATTCACTCAGTATAGTCCAAAATAAATAATAATTTAGAAAATGATGATAGATCTAAATATGAAGAAAATATCTCAGATTTCATTATTTAAAAATAATTTTAATGAGGATTTTTGATTTGTATTCGTATCGAAATTTACTAGTTTCCTCAATTCAATATTTTCAAAAATATTTTTTATACATTTAATTGATGGAGGAATTAAATATTTCTAGAAATTTCAGTGGGCTCTACTTCTAAGTTAATTTTTTAGACTTTTTTTAGATTAGAATTATAAAATAAGTTAGAAATAAACAAAATCATCAACGGACTTTCTGGTCGTATTTAATGAATTTGATTACATTTTTAGATTGAAATAAATCTAATAATATCCAAAGTTAACTGGATTTCCTAATAACACGAAAATAATTGTTTAATATTTTTAAGAATCAATTGAAAGAAAGGTAATTTAATATAATAAATAATTTAAGGGAAGATCATCTTCAGTCCTTAATATGATTTCTAAACTTTAAAATAGTTGTAAATGTAAAAAGAGTTTTAATTAATAATCATAATACTCATATGTAAAATAAGATAAGATAAGAAAATTGCTGGTAATAATCAGTTTTAAGTATTAAAGGCACTAAAAGATAACCTGATTATTTAAATGGTTAATATTTTCATTTGAAAGTATACTAAATTAGGATCAATTTTAAACTATGCTTGAAAATAAGATTAAAAAGTAATAGATAATATATCTAAAAATGTATGTGCATAATAATCAGAGATTCTTATCTTGAAGAAAATAAAATACAAAAAAAAACCTAAGAAGAGATTAATATATTTGCATAACATAGAATCTCTGCACATTAAGCATAACTTGAATCTTTCAAATCTATAAATTAATCATTTTAGGATTAATTTTTATTGAATTTAGATATTGATTGTATAAAAAAAAAATTTTGAATTCTCAAAGTAGATTAAATCGCTCTAATTCAAACAGTTATAATATTTGTGTATAGAAAGATCTTTTTTGAGAAATTTTTTAAATTCAAACATCTTTTTAGATTCTCAACTAACTCAATAAATTCAAAGAGATGATTTTACTGATTTTATAAATGACTAAATTAATTTATTTTTTGGAAAGTTAACAATTTGAACTAAAAAATATCATGAACCTGTTAAATTAGGTTATTTAAACATGTATTATAAGACGTTTCCTAAACATTTAAGAGAAATTTTTAATTAATAGAGGAATGGAATGTGCAAATAATTAGAGGACTTTAGCTGAAAAATAAAGCTCTTTGAATTATATAGCATTATAATCTTGTTTATTTGATGACTTAAATCAAGAAGTCTACGATTATGGGTCAGATGGATATAGACCTATAATTTAAAGATTTGATAAAGAAAGATTAATTTATAGTTGAGAAAATGAATATTTCGATGCTGGTAAATTTATAATTTTTTATTTAGAATCCTGAATTCTTCTATGAGTATTTAAATAAAGTGTGCATACTTCAGGACAGACAGTCAAGAATGATCTTCTTTTACCTAACTGGGCTGTAGATAAATCAGAAAGAAAAGATGATATTCCAGTTGGTTGTTATATCAACGATGATATATTCTGGCAGGATAACAATAAAGCTAATGAAAAATAACGAAAGAAATATTTTAAACATATTTGAAAGCGCATTTTTCTAATAACAAGACATTTTCCTATGTTATTTTGTCTGAGGGAAATAAAATCAACCAAAAAACCTATATAAATAACTAATTGAGAAGAATTCTGTTTAGCTTGAAGCATAGATATTTAAAAATCAAATAAAATCAGGAAACGCATTAGCATGAATTAGAAGTAAAATATATAATTGTTATTTTCCTTTATGAATAATCCTATTCATTTTTGTTAAGAAAACTTCAATTCTGATTAATGTTATATTAATTTTATTTATACTTTTCTAAACAATCTTTTAAGAAATTTAAATAAATTAGAATCAGAAATTTTTAAAAGTATATAAATATACGAATGAGATTAGGTTGATTAAAAAGCCATATTTTATAAACTTTCAAACTTTTGGAATCTTATTTATGATAATAATTTTTCTCCATTCATTCTATAACATATTAAATAAATAATGAAGTATTAAAATTATCATACTATTAGCAATCTAGAGAATAAAATTTTAATTATATTCAATCAATCAACTCAATAATAAATTTTAACAAAATGCTAAAAGAAATAATTATTACTTTTTCTGAGGAGGTCTTTTATAATGATTGACAACTAATTTAAAATATTTTGATATAAATATTTATATTATAATTTCTAAGATTAAATCATTTATAAACTTTCGAGAATACATATAATTATTACATTTTAATATTTGGTTTCTCATTTTCCTATCTTCTAAAATATATCACATGTTCCCAGGTTATGACTTGATAATTATATTTTCCAATTCAAATAAATTAATTCCAAACCCTAATCTCACTCTTTATTTAACCCATTTTACTATTAACATCCTTGATTATCATTCTCATGTTAAATTTTCATTTTTTAATTTATATACTTAATATATATTAATATGTAGATGGAAATATTAATTTTTTTAATATTAAAAAATTTTAAATGTGGAGATGTTTTATGATAATAATACTTTTAACGATTAGTTAAAATTGTTCTATTCAAAAATTTAAATATTGTTAGAAATAAATTAAATTAAAAGCATTAATAAGAGGCAATTACAAAAATGTGATAAGATTTGATGAAGGTCCTTTGTTGGCAAGTCGAAAATAAAATTTATTTTTAGGGGTTGGTAGATTAATAGGAATACTCTTTAGAAATGAAATTTACGAAATTTATTCGAATTATAGAGGAACTTATTGCCAAATAGGCCAATCAATTGTTATTGAATTAATATAGGTCTTTGAATTGAATACATTATTAATTATGTTGAGGAATGGTGACATTCGTACCTATGATTTCATAATTTATGCATCAGATTCTAATAAAGAAACTGTAATATTTGATTCAGTCATCTATTATATTGAAGTTGCCAAAATCAAATTTCCTAACCAATTAGTCAAATATTTCAGAATTTTTAATAGGAATGGGAATTCAGAAGCCCCTTTCCTTCATATAATCAAAGCTGAAGCTTATTTTTAACTTTGAATAATAGATTTATTTTTTTAATTAGTAATCGCTTAAATATTTCTAATTAATATTCCTGCTATCAACAAAAGAAAAAAAATTCTTAAATTCTTATTTGATACTATTAAATAAGTTAAATTAAGAAAATATTTTCATATCGAGAATTAATGATAGATTCTTTATTATTATAAAATATTAGTCTTGAAATAACTTGAGCTGTTAAATGTAAACATTAAAATCAACATTTTCAGTAGAAGCTATTAATTTATTGGATAAATTTATAATTGAATATTTATTAGTATTTTAAATTATACTAATAATTTAATTCTGAATTTATATAAATGAAAAAAAACTCTCTAAACTAACTAATTAATTTTTGTAGGTCTTGATGCATTTGTTTTCTATTCATTAAATGATCATTGTATCCTATATCTTTGAATTTTATTGAATTTAAATGTTAAGAAAAAAAATATTTTCAGTTTAGAGTATAGGAATAAAAAATTATTAAATTTTAGATTTTTAAACTGCATTAATAAATAAAACTAGTATTTTAAATAGTTTTAATATGAGTTAAGGTTATACATATTTTTTAACCTTTCCTTCAGTATAATGGTTTTTGAATTTTGTACATTTATATTCAATAAAATAGCCTCCAGGATTGTCAAGAATTTATCCTTTCAAATTAAAGAAATATTCTGAAATTCATATACTCAAAATATCTATCTTTCATTCTGGATAGTAATTTGTCATCTTCAATTAGTTCATTTTGTTTAATTTTTCAAATAAAGTACTGGTAATTACTTCTACAAGATTATTATTCAAACTAATTTAAATAGTTTGTGAAATATTCTTCATATAATATGTTTTTGATTCCGATGGTAAGTTGAGTCAAGAATATTTTGCAACCAATTTATATTAATATCATCCATCTTAATATTAATTCAAATTCTTAGTGATTTTTAAAGAAAAATATTTAATACAATTTTATTTCTTTTAATAAAATTTATAATAGTTTGTAAAACTAATTTTCAAATCATGTGAATAATTAAATGATAAAAAAGACATATAAAAGAAAATTAATAAAATTGATTAATTTAATAAATGTAATAACATGTATAGAAATTATTATTATTTTTGATATTAATATGTGAAATAATAAAGCATTCATTTTATCTCAGTCTGATAACACTGAAATTGCATCTTGCGGTAATACGCTTACTGATTTCTCAGGTTGGATCTACTTGATTCTTAAAGCAGTTTTTTATATTAACAATTTAAGGTGAAAGAGCAAGCTGAAACACTAATGAATACAGCTGCTAAGATAATAATAAAAATGGCTATAATACTTGATTAATCATCAAGTTCCATGACAGTGTTAGAAATACATGAGGAATCAGATAAGGAATCTACATTCTTGCAATTGACACAAATATTAAGAATAATACATTGATTACATTAATCAGGACATTTCAGATTCACTTAATTTTGTATTTATATTTCTAAAGTAACCATAGGGGCATTCAGTTTTAATACATTCTTGCAAATCTAACAAGTCCAAGGAATTTCAAATGAATTTCAAGAATGCCCCAAAATCCAAAATACATTAATTATTAGTATCTAAATAAAAGCCATATGGATATTTTAGACAAACAAGAGTGGATTAACAACTTTGACATTGATAACTGTGAAGATCAGTAAAAGAAGATGAATCAGTTATTAAGTTGACATATTTATTGTAATCTTACATAAAAATGCCATCTCTAAGAATAGTTCCATCTTAATCAATATTTTTGGCTGTACAAATTAATTATCATTGATTATTTAAATTCTGGGGTTTGACGATATAAATTACTTCAATTTAAACTTCTGTTATTTAAATACTGGATACTCCCAAAGAATTTATGATTTAAAATTAGAGTCCAATAGATTTATAATTATTATCAGAATGATTGAACATCTAAAATTAATTATGCAATCTAGATATTTTCAACACTTTTAACCTCAAATATTGCTTTTAAATCTTTAGAAATTAATTAAAATTAAAATTGAATTAAGTTAAGAAAGGTATAAATTTTTATTTTCCCATAAAAACATCATGATTTCATTATTTAAATTTGTTACTCTTATAATGATTGAATCTTAATCTGCAATAGCTTTGATAAGTTAATGAGATAATTCCATTCTCAACTTAGACAATAAATGGAGCAGCTTTTATTAATTTAATAATTTCTTGAACATCTGTTTTACTATTTAAAGCAATATCATATGATGAGTTTTAATAATTTTTATTTCATATTATTAATAAACAATATATTCAATAATTTAAAATAAAACTTATTTTTAATTAGTGGTAAAAGTTAAAATATTATTATTTAATTTAATATTTCTGGAAGTCCTTGTGGAAAAAACCCTTAGTTGGGATTAACGAATAGATATCTCAGAAATATTTATCAGATTAAATCAAAGAAAGCATTAACTCTAAATCCTTTTAAATGCATATATGAATAAAGGTCAATTTT